CACACACACCATGGAATACTATTCAGCCATAAAAAGGAACGAAGCAATGGCATTCACATCAACCTGGATGGAATTGGAGACCATTATTCTAAGTGAAGTAAGTCAGGAATGGAAATCTAAACACAGTATATTCTCACTCATAAGTGAAAGCTAAGCTATGAGGATGCAAAAGCATAAGAATGATTCAATGGACTTTGGGGACTTGGGGGAAAGGGCGGGAGGTGAGTAAGGGATGAAAGACTACGCATTGGGTACAATATACACTGCTTGGCTGATGGGTGCACCTAAATCTCAGAAACCACCACTAAATAACTTACTCATATAACTAAACATCACCTAGTCCCCAAAACTCTATTGAAATAAAAAAAAAATTAAAGAAAAAAAAATCAATTCACTAAACAAAAATTCCAGAACTCCAATAAGAAACTGATGGACTCATAAAATGGCTAATCAGGATCAAGCAAAACAAAAAAATTAATTACACTAAATTAAATGATTGATAAAGATAAAAAATTATTCCCTTCCTAACTCATAAATCAATTGATATTTCAAAGTATTTTTGTTATCCTGATCAATTTTTTGGTCACAGCTCAATTACAGTCAGTAAGTTACAGAAAAGTACCAAAAAATTATTTCATTCAATTTGAAATAAAAATAAGAACAGTTCAGAAGACACAGACTTATCCTGACAAAGAGATACTTACACTAAATGTTAATAAAAGTACTCTATATCTGTACTAGTGAAAAATACCCAAGACAGCATCTCGAAGGGATTTTTAATTTAAATGCTTATATTTGAAAGGAAGAATGAAAAATTAATAAGCTGGACATTCAACTTAATCATTGATGAATAAAATGGATACAAAAAGTAGATGAAAAATAATAATGACAAGAATGTAAACTAGTAAAGTAAAAAACAAAGACAGAGAACAACAAAGCCAGAAAATACAGTTCACTGAAAAAAAAGAGAGGGATGGAGGGGAGACAAAAAGGGAGAGCAAGAACAATAAAGGAAAAACATGAGTGCAAATGAGAGCAAGACCGTGCCCTAGCAAAACCAAGAAGGCACTAGTAAGTCATAATAGAAATCAAAATACGATATTACTGCCACAAGCAAAATGATTAAACATATAATAAGAGGATATTATATATTACTGTTTGTATATATTCTTGAAAAGCTATATAAGTGAAAAAATATTCTTTTCAAAGTACTAAAAGTGACCTAGAAGAAATGAAACAAAATCTTAAGAGTCTTTTATTGGTTACATAAATTTAAAAACTACATAATTTTTTAATCCCACAAAGAAAGCAACGGCTCCAAATGTCTTTATAGTCTAGTTCCAATTTTAAACAAATTTTTCCACGCAATCAGTATAGCAAGAACATTGTTTTCCAACCCATTTTATGAGTTTAGCATAACCTAATTTGAATCTGAAATCAGTATATTTTAAGAAAAATAATCACCAGGTCTACTGAATCTTAAGATAAACAGTGTTTTTTTATATGCTGAGAAAGTCAACTTTTAATTTATAACTCAGTCACCGATATGCATATTTGTTGATTGACCTGAATTTTTTTTTCTATTTAAGATGAAGTCATTCATATTTTTTCTTGTTTGTATCCTATGTCACTGTTTTAGTTTTCCAGAGTCATTTGTTCTGAGGCACATCAAGTATACAAAGACGATTTGGGGAAAAAGATTTTGAACTTATAAATGCGAAGTCTAGAGTGTTATTATTCCATGGTTTCTAGGCTCAGCTTCTAATTTCTCAGTGGCTGTGGAAGATCCTCTATCATTTCTGCCCAGTCTTCCTCTCATTCTTATTGCCTATTATTCTTCTAATAAAAGTCAACTACTTCATTTCATGTTCTCCACACATACTCCCCTTAATGACACTGTGCATTTACATGAGACTCTTCCTTCCCCTATACCTGCTGATCACAACCCAGCTCATGTTGCCGTTTTCCATAAGGCATTTTACAACCCTTTGAATCTTCTCTAAATTTCCATACATGTTTGTAAAAGCATATTTGGTCCTTTATGCTTATTTAGGTGTACAGTAAGTACAGCATTGAAATACATAAGCCCTAAACCATTTGTAAATTATTACATATATCAGGACTGTTAAGGAGTAAAATGTTCCCTACTGCATGTACTTTTTTGTTTGTGTTAAAAACATATAACATAAAATTTACTCTATTAACCACTTTTAAACACACAGTTTTGTAGTGTCAGGTATATATTTGTTTCTGTGAAACAGATTTCCAGAACTTTTTCATCTTGCAAGTATGAAACTCGACAAAAATTCCAAGAACTCTAATAAGAAATTGATGAGCTCATAAAATGGCTAATCACTAAATGAGAGCACCTTGCTGTCCTTTGCACTGAAATTCTTCCTTTATTGCTCTTGTTCTCCCTTTTTGTCTCCCTTCCATCCTTCTCTTTTTTTTTTTTTTTTCAGTGAATTGTATTTTCTGGCTTGGTTGTTCCCTATTTATCTTTGTCTTTTACTTTACTAATTTACATTCTTGTCATTATTATATATATCCATCATATATCCATTAAAAAACAACTTCCCTGTTTCCTCTCCCCTCAAACTCTAGCAACCACCATTTCACTCTTCGTTTTCATGAACTCAACCACTCTAGATATCTCATTTAATAAGTAGAATTTTACAGTATTTGTCCTTCTGTGACTGGCTAGCTTCACCTTGCACAGTGTCCCTAAGGCTTAACAGTGCTGCAGTCTGAGACAGGATTTCGTTTTACTTTTTAATATGTCTAGGGTTTTCATTTCTTTGGAATGATCACTTTCTTAGATGTTTTCCTTTAAAAAAAAACATGAAAAACAAATCTTTACTACTAGGGATGCACTTTCAGTTATTTACTTGTTTGTGTTATGCTGGAGGAGCAATGCTCACAAAATATTTTTACTTATCTGTTGAATATTGCTGACAACAAGCGTAGAATACTGCAAAGGCATGATACACTGCAGATGTCTGAAGTGGAGAAAGGATGGTCGTGATTTGCACTGATTCGTATTTTAATCATTTAAGTGGATTTTTTGCACCCACCTGTCAGCGTGTACCACCAAAATTTAAGCCCCAATTAAAGTTACCAGTTATTTTATGTCATGGATCTCTAGGTTACTTATGAATAGTAGAAAATATCATACGTTTAAATACATGAACACCAAGAATTTGCTTTATTTCTAAACTAAAATAGTTCAAGGTCTTCCTTTCCCTTTCATCATTTTACCTTTACAATACATTGTCCACTGATCTGTTAAACTCAATAGGCTGGGCACAGTGGCTCACACCTGCAATCCCAGCACTTTGGGAGGCCTAGGTGGGCAGAT